TTTTAATTAATAATGATTTTTCACTGAATTTTTTTACATTCTTAATAAAATATTATCGAAATATTAATGAAATTATAAAGAAATTTTAATGAAATTGGGTCAAAATTGTGAATGCTTTTCAAAAGCATTTCAGCAAAAGTTCATTATATTTTCAATAAATTATTTTCATCAGATACAAATACCTCAATTGAGATCTTACATACGAATTTTTGCGGAAACGGCATTTGAAAATTCAATTGAGAATTCAACTGAGAACTGAATTGGGAATTCTCTTCTTATCTCAACAGAAATTTTTCAGTAGGGTATACTTTCATACCCTCTACTGTTTTGCACTTTGTAACATTCTTTATGTATGTATGATTAGCAGGAGTCCATCAATAAGCATGAAGAAGTGGCTGTAGATGTGGATGCGGGAAACCTTGAATTCAAAACGGAATCTGTGTGTGAAGTAATGGGCGACAGCGTTGGCTGAAATACAACTATAAGACGGTTTATATATTATATATTTGTCAATCTGGTGCATTTCAAGAACCGTACTGAAACGTTCACGCGCATTCATAGAGAAATCAAAATTATTTGTAAAAAGATAAAAAACAGACAACACATATACATTTGCAAGATGCATGGTGAATAATTCTTTGTCACAAACGATAATACACTAAATAGAAAACTATGAAGCAAAAAATATTAACTGTTTTGTTTATTTAATAACTCAGAAAATTCGACAAAAGCGTACATGATAAATGCCACTAATTTCTTAATTAATGAAAATGCAATAAATTATTTATGAAGTACAAGCAAAAAAAATTTATTATGTATATAAATGTTTTTTTTTATTATCTTTAATAAAAAAACAAGAAGATGCGTCGCAAAAAAATATAATTTGTTCAATATTTTCTTATGACCTGCATTCTATAAATTATTTATATAAAAGACTTCTTTAATATAATATCATGTATACGTATGTGTGTATGTGTGTGTGTGTGTGTGTGCGCGCGCGCGCATGCGTGCGTGTGCGTATGTATATGGGAGAGAGAGAATCTCCTGTCAATATATTAAGCAATATATTGGCTCTTAATGTATAATTTACTAAAACATTAGATAATTATTAAATATAATATTGTATAAGACAACATATTAAATCACTACTAACTATAATGTTTACAGTATTATTTACAACTTATGTTTTTGTCGAAATCTTCAAGTTATTATCAAAACAAAGCGGTTAATAATTTCTGCTTTAATTCTGCATGTACCGAAAGATGAGAATATATGAGTGAGTGATTAATATCTGCCAAAGATTTTATGTAAATGGATTTGCATAATCCGTATTTGTGTGTGTGTGTGTATGCGCGCGCGCGCGCGTGTGTATGCGTGTGTGTATTTGTTGAATATATGCACACATACGTACATCTAAAATGTAACTTTTTGTATGTCGTCACGTTATTTTGCGTATCAAATCCTGTATATTATTATTATTAACATCATTAACTTTATAATTGTTATCATTATTACTATTATTGAAAGCCCGGTTTATATATAAAGGAGAATGATAAAGCGATATACGAAACAGCTGTAGAAATGTCCATTAATATAATTATTATTCATTAGTTAATTTCGTAACATTTTTCGTGTATTAAACTCGCTATAACGGATAAAAACCTAGCCTTCGATTATTGTCTAAATGACTGTAACATGGGAGAATTTATAATACTCTACATTTGAATATTTAATTTTTTATGCCAGAGATATGGAACGATAAAATTGGCGAGACTTTAAAAAAATACAACTAAATGTGTAATTTTCAAATGTCTTTAAAATTATAGATAGAAATGTATTGTTTGCAAGTAGCAAAGATACAAGAAGTATCTTTACATTTGATATTTAAACAAAAAGCATGTGTAAAGAAATTTAAAATTATTAGAAAGGAAATTTTAAGATGATTGACTTGTCACGCATAAGCTATATGAAATATCTATCAGACAAAGATTTAGTCTTAAGACTTAGTTTTAAGATTTAGTCTTAAAACTGAGAAGACTTTATTGAAACAACAAAATATTCGAATACTTAGTCCAATATGTAAGATTCTGTGAAGATCCTAGATCGATTTCTCTGAAAGTTCAGAAATTATACAATCCAAGGACAAGAGAACTTTTTGTATATCGAAACCTAATATACAAGATTTCAAAAAGTCTATATACGAATACACAATTTTTTTTATAAAATATACAATAGTTGGTGTACTTAAAGTAAATTTGTTGTGTATAAATAAGACGATTCTCTTTCATACACGAGATATTTCAACACAAATATGTGTTATTATAATAATCTGGATGGAACTTTAAAAATTGATTTTATGCAAATGAGAAGATTTAAGGTAGTTTCCATTTGTATTATATAAAACATCTTCCTAACAGAAACAGTGGTTATAAAATAAATTTATACAATTTAAAATACCAATAAATCTTATAAATAAAGTATAAGGATCATATCTATATCTATATATAGGGCGTACGATAACTCACGGAGGAGCCGCAGTATACAGATAGATTACGTCAAATAAAACAAAATGTTCCTCTACCATTTTGCGAACAGCTACATAAAATTTTGAGTTATTAATTAAAGAAGATTCGTGAATAATCACCATAAAGTAAATAAGTTGAGATGACGATGTCTGTCGCTGTATGCTTGTATATTAGGTCAAATTAAGCAAAAAAATCTTCTATCATTTTTCAAATGACCACGTAGATGTTTAATTATTAATTTAAAAAAATTACATTAATGTATGCACAATTGTACACCGATCTTCTTTAATAACTAAACATGTACATGTGATCATTTGGAAAATGGTAGAGGACTTTGTCAGTTTGATCTAATATACAAAGTGTCAATAAAGTTCCAGGATGGCGAAATATCTCGAAAACTAAGCATTTTAGGAAAAAGCGTTTCAGATAAAAATTATAGGTTTTCAAAAATCTATTTATTGATATTTTTAATTTGACCTTGGGTGGGGTCTCCAAGGTCAGGATAAAGTCATCTTGAATTTTTTTAAATAGAACTCTTTACTTTTTATTGCATATTCTTGTAGCTTATCTTAAGAGTTTTCCGAAACACTATAATAACATATTTTTTTCATTAAATATTTTTTGAGTAATGAAATTTGAAAGTTACAGTACCGTCGGCGTTAACAATTACCCAAGGTGTACTACGCGGAGGTTCCTTGGTCGAATTGACACCTCTTGTGTGTGTGTGTGTGCGCGCGCGCGCGCGTGTATATGATGTGACAGTCCTCAGACCTTACTTGTCCCTTAATTTAACATCGTAAATATCTACCCAATCGCCCATACATCCATGCACACATACACATACACCGACGCACGCATGCACACATACACACCAACATACATCCCCATCTATACACACACACATCCGCACCCATACCCACACATACCTACCCATACATTTTAGCATTACCTTCGGTAATACTAATGCTGATGGTATTGTAACTTTCAAGTTTCATTACTCAAAAAGTACTTAATAAAAAAATAAGTTATTATAGTATTTCAGAAAGTTCTCGAGATAAACTACAAAAATATGTAATAAAAAATAGGAGGTTCCGTTTAAAAAATTCAAGGAAACCTTGTCCTGATCTTGGCGACCCCACCCAAGGTCAAACTAAAAATATTAGTAAATATATTTTTTGAAACCCTATAACTTTTATCTGAAACACTGTTTCCTAAAATGCTTAGTTTTCGAGATATTTCGCCGTCGCGGAACTTTATTGACGTTCTGCATAAGCATACAGCGGCCATCACAACTTATCTACCACATGGCGCGTGATTATTCACGAATCTCTTTTGATTCTTCTTTGATCAAAATTTTATATGGTTATTCGCAAAATGATAGAGGAATTTTTTATTATGTTTGACTTAATTTCCCTATACACCACGGCTTCTCAGTAAGTTACTGAACACTGTGTGTGTGTGTGTGTGTGCGTGTACGTGTGTGTGTGTGTGTGTGTGTGTGTGTGTGTGTGTGTGTGTGTGTGTGTGTGTGTGTGTGTGTGTGTGTGTGTGTGTGTGTGTGTGTGTGTGTGTGTGTGTGTGTGTGTGTGTGTGTGTGTGTGTGTGTGTGTGTGTGTGTGTGTGTGTGTGTGTGTGTGTGTGTGTGTGTGTGTGTGTGTGTGTGTGTGTGTGTGTGTGTGTGTGTGTGTGTGTGTGTGTGTGTGTGTGTGTGTGTGTGTGTGTGTGTGTGTGTGTGTGTGTGTGTGTGTGTGTGTGTGTGTGTGTGTGTGTGTGTGTGTGTGTGTGTGTGTGTGTGTGTGTGTGTGTGTGTGTGTGTGTGTGTGTGTGTGTGTGTGTGTGTGTGTGTGTGTGTGTGTGTGTGTGTGTGTGTGTGTGTGTGTGTGTGTGTGTGTGTGTGTGTGTGTGTGTGTGTGTGTGTGTGTGTGTGTGTGTGTGTGTGTGTGTGTGTGTGTGT